GAGAGGGGCCCGGGAAGTCGTACCACCTGGCTGGGGAGGGGAGGGTTTATAGTCTTGTGGAGGACCTAAGCGGGGACACTAAGGAAATAGTGGGGTCCAATTAGCTGTTAGTATGGGTCTGCACTTAATTAGCATGAGGGGGCTTCACAAGAGGAAGCTTGCCACTGCATGGGACTTTCCAGTCTGGGCGGGTTCTGTTACTTCCGTTGTCTTATCAGGCTGTCTCATCAGGGCTTGACGCTTGGAGGAAGCTGCTAACTGAAATGTTGGTGGCTTGGGTTTGCTTCGGCCTAACAATAGTCTCTGAGATATGAAAAACAAAAGCTAAATGTGATTTTTAAAAATATACATGTATTACTGTTGAATCAGTTCTGACTCATGGCGACTCCGTGTGTTACTGAGTAGAAATGCTCCGTAGGATTTTCTTGGTTGTAATCTTTATGGAAGCAGACTGCCAGGCCTTTCTTCTGTGGTGCTGCTGGGTGGGTTCAAACTACCAACCTTTTGGTTAGTAGTTGAGCAGAAACCATGTGTACCTCCCAGGGACCGTAAACATAATTATAGTTATTATAAAGCTTTTGTAGACGGCACATAACAACAACAACAGCAAGAAGTTTTTACGATGGTAATCCTTTATTATTTGGAATGTTCTGATGTTCAGCAAATCATTAAATAGATGAAGTTACTTTCAATTTGTGTGCCTTTTGCTATTTTGGCTGCTTTTCACCCCTCTCTACAAAACGTTTGCTATATAGACTTGTTAGGGGAGCTTTACAGGCATCTTGCTTTATTATTGTGATCATATCTTAATAACACTGTTATTTGTAGTAATAAATACTTTTGTTTACAGAGCAATAGTCATGTTGTATGTGGTAGTTTTCATTGATTAGACCATGCTAAGTTGCTATTAAGTAAGTCAAGTAATGATCCACAAGCAACACCCATGGAAGCAGCAGTCAAGAAATCAGATGTTGGTTGTATTGCACTGAGAAAATCTGCTGCAAAAGACATCTTCAAAGTGTTGAAGAGCTAAGATGTCATTTTGAAGACTAAACCTCATATGCATGTGAAAAATGGACAATGAATAAGGAAGACTGAAGAAGAATTGATGCCTTTGAATTGTGGTGGTTGTGAAGAACACTGAAAATACTGTGAACTGCAGAAGAATGAACAAATCTATGCTGGGAGAAGTGCAGCCTGAATGTTCCTTGGAAGTGTGAATAGCCAGGCTTTTTCTCACCTATTTTCATCATGTGGTCAGAAGGGACCATTCCCTGGAGAAGGAAACCATGCTTGGTAAAGTGGAGAAAAGAGAAGACTCTCAACGAAATGGATTGACACAGTGGCTGCAATGATGGGCTCAGACATAGCAAGGATTGTGAGGCTGACACAGGACAAGGCAGTGTTTCGTTCTGTTGTATGTTGAGCCACTGTGAGTCAGAATTGAGTTGACAGCACCTAACAACAACAATTACATGTCAAGTAGATTGTAAGCATATAATTTTATGGTTTAAGTTGATTTGATCAACTTGATGGTAGAGAGATTAAGAGCTTCTTTTCACTCCTGGTTTTGTATTTTTATTGTGAAAGCTCAATTAAGTGTACTGCAAGAAAATGGTGAGGAAATACACACACACACACACACACACACACACACACACATATATATATATTTAGTTTTATACTTATTAATCATGTCCAGATACTGATGAAAACAGAGTTCGTGACCATCTTATGACAAAATACCTGAAATATATTTCATTTATTTCTTGTTTATTTGTTTACTTAAGGAAGGCTGGGCAATCTACTTCCATAGTGATACCATCTCAGAAACCCAAGGAGGAGTCACTATGAGTCGGATCCGACTCGAGGGCGGTGGGTTTGATTTTGTTTTGGTTAACAACTTTTATTATTTAAGATGTGTACATCATGAAAGGACACAAAAGGAATGTAATATATGAGTCTTCCACCTCAGGATTTTCTGACTATAAAAATTAAACCTATGCACATAAAATGGATAAATAATACAGCAGACATGTGTTGAAATATATTGAGTCAAAATGAGATCTGTAACAATATAGGAGAGTAGGAATCAACCTTGACTTTTCTCTTGCCCTCACCTTTCACTTTGAATCTCCAAATTCTATCGCTTTTAGTTAATAAATATATCTGGAGTCTTTTAATTTCTCTCTTTTCCTATGGCCACCACTTTGGTTCAAGCCATCATCATCTCTTTTCCTCTAAATTTGTTTTACTCAATTGATTGTCCACACTGTAGCCATGATAATCTAAAACTCAAAATCTTATTATGTTGGTCACTTCTCATTCCCTTAAGGACAAAGCTCAAACTCTTTAAATGGCTCCTGAGATTTCCCTTCATTGGATCATAGTCTGCCTTTCCAGCTTCATTTTTCCCAATGGTCTTTCTTGCACCTTCTAGTCTAGCCATGCTGTATTTATTATTCTTTGAATATGATTTGTTCAGGATATTCTCAATTTGAACAGTATTTCCTTAGGGATAGTAGACTTTCTGATCCCTACATTAAGGTAGGATGCCTTGCTATCATTTTCATATCTTTTTATAAATTCTTGTATCATAAAAAAATGGTTAAATTACTCCGTATTTTGTGTGGAAAGTTTTGTGTTGTTTGTCACAGTATTCCTGGCACTGAGGTAGTAGTATCTAGGAGCTCTGGTGGTGCAGTGGTTAAGACATTAGGTTGCTAACCAAAAGGTTGGCAATTTGAACCTACCAGTCACTCCATGGGAGAAAGACAAAGCAGTCTGCTTCTGTAAAGATTTACAGCCTTGGAAACTCTCTGGGGCAGTTATACTCTAAAGGGTCACTATGAGTTGGGATTGCCTCAATGGCAGTGGGTTTAGTCTTTGTGTTATGTAGTACCTGGAATGTCTCTCACTCTAACTCAACTGCCATCAAGTGGATTCTGACTCATAGTGACCCCCATTGCGTTTCCAAGGCAGTAAATCTTTATGGAGGTAGATTGCCCCATTTTCCTTTTGGGGAGCGGCTGGTGGGTTTGAACTGTCAATGTTCTGGTTAGCAGTCGAATGCCTTAGGCACTATGCCACCTGCAACGTAGAGGATGCTAAATATTTTCTATATGAAAGAATGGATGAATATAGAGAAAGGGAGTTTATGTAACTTAGAAAGGCCTTATTTAGGAGCTAGGTCTTAAAGGATGAATACTTATTTTGATTACAATAAGAAGGCAAAAACTGCATATATAAACCCTATCTGTCTCCATATGATTTTTCATCCAAGTGTACTTCAAATACAACCAAAATACTAGGCTCTGTATCTGAACTTGTGGAGTTAGAGGTAGTAATTTCTCGAAAGAGATAGTGTAGGTCAGGATATGAAAATGCTAATTTCTTAAGACACATTTTGCCTAATTTCTACGATAATACATATTATGCTCATCAAATTTTATGAATAGAAGGGAAATTATACTGATTTATTATTAGTCTACAATTTATCTAAAACATTTTCTGTGCAGTACTTTGTTGTTGTTGTTGTTGTTATGTGCCGTCGAGTCGGGCCCGACTCATAGCGACCCCTCCTTGGGTTTCCCAGGCAGTATCACTACAGAAGTAGGATTGCCCAACCTTCCTTCTGAGGAGTGCAGTACTTTAGCTATCCTTAAATCTCAGTTAACTTCACAGGTATATAAATAAAGTGTTCATAACATCATTAATTCAGGATGTACAGACTGTGATAGCTGTTTTAGGGTGATATGTTCTACTTCCTGTCCTAATTTTGAATTGAGTTAAATTTACTAAAATTTTAGTCATTTTTTGGTTTTTGTTTTATTTCTAAAATACATCCTTTTGTCACATGGTAAAGCAAAAACTTTTCCAATTATAATTTTAGATGATATTGGTTCTCTTTCATCAGATTGCTTTATGAATTTAAAAAATTGCTGATTCTGCTATGCTGTGGAAAAAAAACATTAAAGAACCTTGAACATGAGTCAAAGACACAATGAAAAATCACAATAAAAAGGAGAATTATTTACATAGGTCTCATTCTTAGGTTTCTCGGAAGGAAGGTTGGGCAATCCTACTTCCGCAGTGATACTGCCTCGGAAACCCAAGGAAGGGTCTCTATGAGTCGGGGCTGACTCAATGGCACATAACAACAACAACAACAACATTCTTAGGTTTATCCAGGTGGTATTTGAATTTGATAATGACATGTTGTCTTTTGCATGTTAAACTCTTTAAAGAAGTTATTAAATAAAAATTTGAGAGGTATTTTGATTTAGATCATGTTGATCTGAACTGTAGGAAATAAAAATGGAGTTTCTGAAATAAAAAAAAAAAATGATTATCTACCTATATATTGGGACAATCATCAAAGATTGCCAGAATAATAAAAAAAAATATTTATTTTTGGGGACTTCTAATTTAATAGGTTGGATGAATAATGGTACAAGCGATTTGGAGGCTATTCCTTTAAATGAGAGTACAATTTTGCTTGTTTAATCACTGTTACTAAAGCTTAGTCATGTATGGAGAAAGCTGCCTAATAATTAAGAGTTGACTTTTTAACATAGACTATGTAACAGACACATTGGATACTTAATTAAATAGAACACTGCTTAGTCTTAAAGAACCCCCACACAGCGACACAAACCAAGTTCTTCTTGGCAAGTGGAATCTTTATAGTAGCAAAAGTGGGAGACCTAAAGGATGTGGCTCACCACTCTGTTTGGGTGATGCAGAATTGCTCTAAGCAGTAAGCTTACAGTTTTCAGACAGCATTAGCAGCATCAGCAAATACAACTGTGTCAGCCTCTCTTAATATGGGGCGTTTGTAACTGCACAGGGGAAATGATAAAACAGTATATGAGATTTGATATCTTGATGATAGTGTAAACAAATACTGATGGACAGATCTGCTGTTTGATGTTTTCTTCACTAGTCTTGAAGATGCTGAGAGATAGAGATGGCTGTGATTATCTTTTCTAAGACAGGAAATGCAATCTTTGGGGGTTTCTGGAAATAGAGAGGTCATGCAGTCTGGAACCTGTGAGCCTTTTCAATCTCTAAGCCATCAGGTATGACCTCATGAATTATGATTATCTTATTAGAATGTAGGGTTATTGCTTTTTTCTTAGTTATTTTAGAATATATGAATCAATGTAATTGTTTATTGTCAGATTTTCCTTAGGATATTTGAACAAGTAATGTTTATAATAATGGTCATTAGCTAAACAATAAGAATTTTAGAAATGTGTGTGTGTGTTTACCTTTTTTGGGGAAGTAGAGAGTAAGGGAAGAGTTTTTTTTGTTTTTGTTTTTGTTATTTTGTGTATGATTAAAAGCAAGGTTTGGGGTGCTACAGATTTTCCAGATTAAACCTGACTGTATTCAAACTAGGTCTTTTATTTAGAATTATAAAAACAGTACATTGATCAAACTGATAAGGATGTATCACAGCTAGCTGCTTATAGGTAGTGATATATCATAAAAATATTTTATCTGGAATTTCTTTTGCCTGGATATAGATATTTCTTCCTTTGTATCATGCAACAATATAGCATAATAATAGGTCTATAAATAGAATCATGTTATCAGAATCTAGGATACAAGCTTATTTGCTGAAATTTATAATATAGAATCTGAGTTGTTTTAAAGGCACTGGTTTTAGTTCTTTCTCAGATATATTGAAATACTGATGCACTCGGTAGTAGTGCACATATCTGCTAAGGCATTCCTTATGAATTAAAGCAGACTGTAAATCTGTTTTGCACAAAGAAAGTGTCTGACATGTAAGCTTGTTTTAAGATTTTTTGACCTAAAGAGATTCAACATTTGCTTACTTTCATTTTCAAACTGAAAAGACTTGAGTGCGTTAAACATGTTAACTACAAAGACTAGAAAATCATCACTGCAAAGGATTTTAATGTTTGTATCCATTTGCTCCTGAAACTGCCATTTATTTACAAGTATTTTTACCTATCAAATTACAATGCTATTTATTTTAGTTTTTTGTAGCATGTCCTCAGAATGACATACTTGGATAGAAAATCATACTTGTGTTTGACATTCAAATTTTGAAGGAAATATATATTTTTTTAATATCAAACATAACTTCTGCCTCAGTTTTAGAGAACTTGTCAGGTACTTGAGCAGATACTCTATATTAAATGAGCAAAAGAGATAAAATATTTCATCATTTCTCAACAGAAAGATAGTTTTGTCTTCATGGTTATGTAGTGTGATTAGGATTTAATGTCTCATCAGGGTGAAATGATATGGTATTAAAAATGAATATACTTAACAAAAGACTGACATAGAAATCTGTAACAGTGAATTAATTCAAGTAAGGGGTCAGTTCTCCTTTTTAATTAAAAACACGTTAAAAGAATTCTACCTACTTATAATTGGCTATAATTTATATGTTATTCAGGCTACTTAGAAAGCTTATATTCTTATTAGTAGGGAAGATTGCCATATTCTTAAGCTTGATTAGTTTTGGAATGATTTGAATATACCTTTGAGTTGCTACAAAACCTGTTTAATCTGTTAGAATTTATTTCCAGTATTTGCATGTATTAGTCACTATGAGTACATTCTGTTTCTTGGCATAACTTTGAGATTCCTCTAGGTATTGGTTTCACGGCGTTTTGTTATTTTTTCACTGTATTTATGACTTTTTCAAAAGAAAAAATAAACCATAAGGATTTTTGATTAATTTCTTTTAGTGTCAGTTAAATGAAGATACCTTAATACTTTTTGGTGACAAAAATTACTGTCTTAGAATTACCATTTCCTTTACAAATTGGAGAGAATTTTCTCTCTGTTGCCATGTTGAAATACATTACATTAAAAAATAAAGACTGGTTTGAATATGTTTTTTTTTGTTGTTGTTATATGCCGTCGAGTCGGCCCTGACTCATAGCAGACATTTAAATGTAATGTCAACATTTATCCCTATGTTCCAAGGTAGTCTTGACCTTTTGGGTAGTGAAACTGATTGTAAATCTTCCCAGTAATTGTTGTTCATCTTTTTTTCAATGGTTGCCTCTATTTGTACTAGTTAATACCTGCATTCTGTTATGCATAATAAACCCACTGCTATGGAGTAAATTCCAACTCATAGTGACCCTATATATATCATAAAGGTTCCTGAAGATAAGCTGTCTATAAGAAACTAATTGAGTGATTGTTCAATTCAATAAACATTTATGAAAGTTGTGAGAAGTACAGGGGGAAAAATATTTCCTGATTTATTTTAAATAAGCAAATGCAAACATGAGGTATGACTTTTCTAAGGTGGTTTGCTACAATCAAGGAGCTCTGGTGGAACAGTGGCTAAAGTATACAACTGCTAACCAAAAGTTGGCAGTTCAAACTCATCAGCTGCTCTGTGGGGAAAAGATGAAGGCAGTCTGCTTCCGTAAATTTATAGCCAAGGAAACCCTGTGGGGCACTTCTACCCTGTCCTATAGTATCACTATGAGTCAGAATCTACTCAGTACAGTGTGTTTCATTTGGTTCTACAGTCAGTTTTAACTTCATCTAGAAACTGATAGCCTAGTGCTTAAGGCACTTGACTGCTAACCAGAAGGCTGGCGGTTCAAACCCACCAGCCACTCCTCGGAAGAAAGGTTGGGCAATCCTACTTCCCTAGTGATACTGCCTCGGAAACCCAAAGAGGGGTCGCTATGAGTCGGGGCCGACTCGACGGCAAATAACAACAACAACAACAACAACAGATACTGATGTTGAAGCCAAGAATGAGTTACGTGTAACTCTTATATAAATTTCTTGGTATTAGAGAAATAAAAGGTCAGAGCAAACTATATAAACAAGCATTCCGTAATTTTATTGCAACTGCATTAAGTTGTTTTAAAATGCCTAATTTGTTGTGCCAAGTCATTGTTAACTATGGGCCACTAAAATAGCTTTGTGTGTTCTATAAGCCATTGTTGTCAGTTTATTTTGAGAGTGGAAGAGGACCTAGTCCATTTTCAGGAGGCAAACGGGGACCACAGAAATCAACAAAACAGGGATGCAGCCAATCTAGTATAATTCCAGGTTTCTTTTGCTTGTTAGCTGCAGTTGGTCAATTCCCATTCATGGCAACCTGGATAAATGAGTATTAGGGAAGGGGTTTTTGACCTCATAGAGATTACATTTTGGAAATAAAGAGTAGCAAGTCTGATGCTAACTAGGTCATTTAGGAGAGTCCTTTGAATAAAATGAGGAAAATAGAATTCATCTCAGGCTCCTAAAAAGGGGGCTGGAAAGAGTTATTATGGAAGTAGACTTAGCTAGGTAGCTGCTGGAGTGTCGGACACTATTATCTCCTCTTTCACACCAGCATACTGGCTGAAAGCCACAGGGGGATCAGTAGATCAGATGCAAAGCCCTTGTTTCCCCAGAATCCCAAACTGCGGAATGCTGGCCAATAGTGCCTCCAAAGTATCTGACATCTCATTAGAGCAATAGAATGTGATTTGCAATTTCATCTGGTTTGAAACAGCTGGCTGAACTAAGAGGTTTATAGTATCGTCATTAAACAAATGGACTCTAGAGCCATAATGACTGGCATAAATCTTGGTTGTACTACATACTAGCTATGTGATCTTGGGCAAGTTATTTAACCTTTCTGAGCTTCAGTTTCCTCACTAAGATAGGGATAACAATGCTAAAACAATGCTTACATCCTCAAAGAGTTGTAAGAATTAAGTGGGTTAATGTCTGTATAAAACATTTATAAGAGTTCTTAGCATATAGCAAGCACTGTATTTATTGAGAGACATTTATTATGTACATCCTAAGAGGCAGAATGGGCTTTGGTAAGAGTAGTTATGCAGTTTAGTTTTGCTCCTCTTCCTTACTCCCCTTATCAAATAAGAAATTAAGCCAAAAGCATATGCTACACTGACATAAAGCTGGTGATAAAAATGCAAAGACAAAAAACGTTATCTCTGATTAAATTCTAAATTTTGCTGACAATAAGAATTGGGGCTTGATGAGAATATTTTGTGTTGAAAGTTATTTTGCATCTGCTTACTTGGCTGATTTAAACTTCTAATTGGATTCTATGTGTATAGGTCCCTTTCCCCTCCTATATTACACAAACTACTTCATTCATGACAGAAAGATTATTGGAACTTTGGACAAATTTAATAGCACCGTCAAGCCTTTTTTGGTTATGGTTTAAGATTAAATTTGTTGTTGTTGTTACGCTCCATCAAGTTGGACCCGACTCATAGCGACCCCTCCTTGGGTTTCTGAGGCAGTATTGCTACAGAAGTAGATTGCCCCATCTTCCTTCCAAGGAATGGCTGGTGGGTTTGAACTGCCAGCCTTCTGGTTAGCAGTCAAGTGCCTTAGGCACTACGCTACCAGAGCTCCCAAGATTAAATTTAAGAAGTAAAAAATCAGTTTAAGGATAATTAAAAGAATAAGTTACATAGTTTGGATTTAAAATGATCTGAGTTATTAATTGTCACAATGTCCAGGACAAAAATTTCACTGAAAGTTAAACATAACTTCTGTTTTTCTAATTACATTTATTAATGAGTATTTTTATTCTAGATGAAAGATTAAAATGAAATAGGTTTTGAATCAATACCATATATGTGGTTAGAATAATTCAAGTCCCTATTTGATAGGAAATAATATTTCAAATCTCTGGTGGCTATAAATGTCAAAAAACATCTATCTGCTTAATAATAGTCAATAAATTCCTAAATGCAAATGAGTAATACGATATTTGGATGAAATGTAAATGTTTAAGGGTTGCATTTTGTGACATACCTGAATTTTAGTTCTTTTATTTAGAGCAAATTTCTCAATCTGCCTGCTACTATTTACCAAAAATTGGCACAGGGTCAATTGAACTTTAAGATAATGCAATTTGTTAAAACAAACAAGTACCTACAATGTGTTAGTAAGCACAGTACTGGACAAGGATATGAACACCAATGTAGGCTCCTGCCGTCAGAATGTTGCAGTCTGTGAGTCATAAAATTAAATGCAAGTAAGCATCACAGAGATTTAAAAAAGAGATGAAAAAGTACAAATTGTTTTGTGGAAATTT